GAAAACTCCCCTTTTCATGTTGCTTACCTTTTGAATCGTTTTTTAATTTAAACTCAAGTGGACAAAACAAAATCTGCAACACTAAACATTAAAAAAAAAAACAGACTAAATAACCAAATAAGACGTTTTTATTAGTTTTTGCTCCCAGTCAAAAGAAACCAATGAAAGGGGCGAAAAGCAGAAAAAAAAAAATTCTAAGAAAAAAGATAAATATAGATGGAAGTTGGCTGTTAGTTCACTTAATTGAAATGAATAACAATTAGTGCAATTGTAAATGCATCATTACAGTAACCCACGTGACTTCTTTTAAATGCTGACAATGAAACCAAAAGCACGGGGACTTTCCTGCAAAGCTGTTTGTACACAAACACACGTCACCGTCTCTGTTTAGACACTGTTCTTTTTAGCCCAATAATTGTTACCTTTAAATATTCCCTCTGCACTTTTTCCAGGATGCTGAACTCTGCAAAGTCCAGATGCGTTCAAAAAGTATTTCCAACATATTTATGCATTTGCAAAACGTGAAGCCAGCAAATTAAGAAAATATCAATTTATTTTGCATAGTGCATAGTGTTTTTTTAAATCTTTGTTTACGATTAAGAAGATGCCAAAAGAACAATATCAATCTTGAGTCTTTCCATAAACTTTTAAGTGGATAATCTTCAGGTTAAAGCCTTCTTATTTGATAATATTGGTTCCAAAGATTAATCCCTAAGAATGACATCAGATTCATGTATTCTTGGGGACTTCCAAAATGGGCGTGTCATAAACTATAAATACACTACTAAGACTCGAGATCGAGCATCTTGACACACTCACACAGAAAATATGTGCAGAGCAGAGGACATCGTGCTTCGTTCCAACTGCGGGGAGGTTTTCACCTTCAACCCACTAATGGGGAAACAACAGCAGCACGTGACCGTGCACGAGCTGAAGACACGAGCAACCCAGATATTCCCAAAGTCAGGTGGGTTTGACCGGATCTCTCTTCCTGAAATGATCAGTTTAGAGCTTCTAAACTCATTTTAAACATATGCATGGCGACTTTTTTTCACTAGGGCACAATCAACACGTGCCTTAAGTGGAGAAATAGCCCCAAAAATATCCCTTAAACTGAAACATCAGCAGCTTTAGATGCAAAAAAAGCTCTCTTTTTCTCTGTTTGCAGGATCCAGTGTTGGGGAGGTGAAGCTGATCGTGAGAGATACTCCTTTGGACAATGACTCCGCACCTCTGTGCGCATACGGAATCCAGAGGGAGACCCTGGTGCAAATGGTTCGCAAAGTGTCCGGAGGCTGAGGGGAGCGAGCCCCCACCTGGTCCTCCATCAGGGCCTCATCACCGAACACTTTCTGGGAATTTCGGGGAATACATCGGTACAAGGGCTAAATGTCATTTTTGAAAAATAGTCTCAACCTCAGAGAAATCAGGATTTTTGCTTTTGTTTCTGATCCTCAATCTACTTTGAAATGTCTTTCTCGACTTGTTTTGTATTGCACCTTTATTGAAAAGTGAAAATTTCCTATCTGTTTTTATAATGTTTTCTACGGATTTGATTCTAAACTGCTTAACATAACAGTCCACGTTGTTCAGTTAATTTTCCAAATTATTTGAGAGAAAAAGATATTTAAATACGATATTTAAATTGCAATACAGTACTTGTTGTTCTGTTTCTACTGCATAGCCTAGAGTTTACTCAAACGTTTGAATGTATAAATAAACACTGTTGAAAAAAATCCTTCTCTTTCAAAATTGTATTTATTTAACATTTTAAACCAATAAACGAGACAGTTGAAAAAAGCAAAAAATTTTCTTTCATTTTGTGGCTTTGTGAGTTCAACTAAATTGTAACCACTCTGAGATAGCAGTAATTATGACTTAATAAATAACTTTTACATCTGTTTTCATCTTAAAACATCAGAATTTGAAATTGCCAGAGTAAGTTTCTTAATTACCGTTTTGATTGAAAAGTAAAAATTGTTCAGTCCATGGGAAGAGATGTAGAAGAAGAGATAAACAAGTGTCCAGCCCCTTTAAATGTAGACTGTAGCTTATACACGGAAGCAAAACAAAACAAAAACAAACTCCCGGCGTGCGCAGAACGTGCTGCATCCGGGGAAGTGTTTTGACTGTTTGCGCTTGCCGTAGAAGGTCTGATTCCTTTAAACATGGCGGCCATCAGAGTGGGCTGACACCGGGCTGCTTAGCTAGATGTTTCCTGAGACAAAATGGCAAACCAAGCCAGGAAAACTACCACATTTCACAGCTTTTGAATCTTTTTTTTAACATTTGGGGAGTGTTACTCTGTCCCTGCGCCTGAAACGTGCACGCAAACAGACGGTTTACGTGGCTAACGGACTAGCATGCTAACAGGCTAGGCTAACAGGCTGTTAGCGTGCTAGCCTGTGTACTGTCTCAAAGTTCATGTGTGAACTTAGAAACAGCTGCAAACATGCTGTGACAGACAACGTAACCATCACTTTATTTGGAATACGTGTTGCTTTTCAATTTACTAATATATTTACATTATGTTCACCGCCTGCGCTGCTCATGAATGACCAGCAGAGGGCGCCAAAGAGCCACTAAAACGCACCATTTGTTAATTTTTGACAGCATGTTGAATAAATAAAAAATGTCTCCAATCTCCACCTTTTCTAACATGTAGATACATTTAAGTTCCCCTCCCAACTTACTTAAACATTTAAAGCCTGATTCAAGAAAAAAATTACCTATTTTTTCTGGTTGAAGTCTTTATTTGGCCCTTTAACAAAATATGAGAAAAACATAAATGTCTTATAGTCTTCATTATTTATTACTGTCTGATTATTCTGAGTTATTGTCTGCAGTCTTATTGCCTGCTGTGGTCAGCTTTATCTGACTGTGTGCAAAGTTTCTACTATTAAATTAGGCTAAAACTCTCAGATGCTAAAGAGTTGAGAAATATTCTGTAACAGAGTGAGATGTTTCTGAGAGGAAAAGAGGAATAAACTGTGTCTGTGGAGCAAGGAGAATCTGTTTAAAGAGAATCTCCCTTGAACGGAGGAGAGGAACCGTC